TTCCTGAGAAGGCATTAGAGATCGATATCCGTGTACATAACAGTGATCATCCTGGCTTACCTGGGTTCCGTGTCAATAACTACCACACAGGCGTTCCGTAGTTCTCACTGAAGAGTTTGGCAGCTTCAGACAGTATGGCATCCGTGACTAGGTCACCAGAAAAGGTCTCATACAGTTGCTTTTCCATTTTGACGTTACTATGTTTGCGTGTATTCCAAGAACTGTCTATGAGAGTAACACTGGGCGCGAGGAGAAACTTGACAGTAGGATGGGCTGGGGATGACGAGGTTGAAGATAGAGAAGATTTTGATGGTTCTGCTGAAGGTGACTGTGTTCCATTTGGCACACAACCTTGGAGCTTATCCATGACAACGAAGGATGTATGTCTGTAGGCGGGGTATCTGCGGGCGTTTGGTGCCTGATGAACGTTCTTCTATAATGCCAAGGATAGATGCGGCAAATGCCTAAATTGGAAGCATCGGCATCGGCATAACTATAGTCCATCTTGTATCTTCCGGAACGCTAATGCACCTTGCGGCAAAAAAATTTCCTATTCAAGTTCTAGCCGTCCCGCCTATCTATCACCCTAAAGATACATCCCTGGAGTGGTCTATTTGATAGACCCCTGTATATCTTGGGACAGACATTTGACCATCAGAATCAAAGCCGTGGCCGAGACCTTGCTCCAATGACGGACGTGCGCTGTAACGCATCTGGAGGTGCATTTAAGCCACCAGAAATCGAGTGGCAGAAAAAACACGTAAAAATTTACGCGGGTGCACGTAGTTGCCAGTTGATGGGTCAGCTGGCTGATATAAAGATCGTATTCCCCAGCACACTATCATTTCCCAAAATATTATGACCCCAAACCTAGTCTGACAGCCCCATGAAATCTACCGATTTGCTGCTTATTACTCTGCCGTTGCAAGAGCTAATTTGAACCATGTCCCCAGCTAGCGAGGTATGTTTGTTTCCTGCTGAAAAAGAAAGTACCACTGCTGAGTTCTTTCCTCGATCCTCAGAAAACAAAGGCCTTGCGCAACTACGCTACATTACAGAAATCGAAGGTGGATGAACTTCAAGACCTTATCGAAAATGCCGGGGAATGCAGCAGTTCTGGTTACTTCAACGTGCTCCCTTCTTTGTCAAAAATAGTCAAGCTCTGGCTTGAAAATGGAACGGCCATTACGAACCTTGAAGAGCTGGAGAAACGGGCCTTGGAACGGTACAAGGAATTGGGAAAGCCTGACTTTGAGTGTCTACATGTTGCTTTAGTCCGTCGCCAAGGACAAGACTTCTACAGCAACAGCAAATGCCTCGGTGTGCTTTTGGACCGGTATTTCGATGAAACTGACGTCAACCTCATCGTGTGGAAGGGGAACCATCGCTGTCAAGAGACAACCACGAAAGATGTTATGAACTGGCTGTTCCCGGAAATACGTCATATTCGGTACGCATGCACTAAATGCTTCATGGAATTTGGAAATAAAGAAGAATGGATTCGTCATGAAAATAATAAGCATTTTCAGCCGCAGGCCTGGCGCTGCCCCGAGATCCTTAACCCAAACTCTCGTCCTAACGATCTTGCTAAGGCTCTGCCTACAAATTCCACTGAGAACGAATGTGCCCGGCTCTTTCATAGGCGAGACGACTTCGAAGAGCATCTCTGCGATGAACACGATTGCAAAGAAACTGATGTCAAAATTGTCGTTACGGCAAGTGTGATTGGAAGAAATAATCAGCGTCAGATATGGTGTGGGTTTTGCCGCAAGCTTATCCCATTGCAGAAGGAGGGTCTGGATGCCTGGAACGAACGTTTTGACCATCTCGGAGAACACTTTCAAAAAAAAAAAAAAAAAAAAAAAAACAAAATATTGGTGATTGGCTTTTGCCGGATTGCAATAAAACTGTGAGGGAAACTAGGGATGTACGCGAGGCAAGTGATGAGGGCGGGGTTGGGTAGGAAGATGAGGAACAAAAGTAGCAGTAACGGATTTCAAGCATGAACTTCGGGCCCAATAACCCCCTTTCGTCACGGTGATATTTTCAGATCCCTTGATAATCTGATAGATGGGTCCAGTTATCTGCTTCCAGAAAAGAAAAATGTTGTAAACTTCTTAGCTGTTGAAGGGTATATAAAACTCGTCCGTAATCTAAATAGGCAGCGTTGCCGGTTGGGAAACCGATCCACGTTCGGCAAGGCAAGACTTGTCGGCGTCGATGTGTAGCCCCGTGGCTAGTGCAGGGTGGCGAGAATGGGTGGCTAGGTTGCGACGGGGTGGTGCGCCTGAGGGTCGATGCAATCCGCCCTCGTTGCACGGGCGCATATCCCTAGAACGTAGGCTAATATGTAGCACTATCTTGCCAATTGCGTTCAATCGAGGAGGCTGAACCGATGTCAGAAACTTCCGGGAAGAAGTTGGAGTACGGATGATATAGTAGCGGTGTTTCGGATATTTCACAGTTTTGTAAAAAGCGATGTGAGAAGACAAGTGTTCCATTGAGGCCTGGCCGTGGCCATCCGGAACTGGACCGAAGAAGGTCCGGTCTTAACGGCAACTGAATGCACTACGTCAATAGATACGGGCCGTGTTGCTTCCATTCAAGAATCAGCAATCCGTGGACGATCCCGAAATGAACGAAGCCCATTCCCTTTATATGTGCAGATCAATTCAATAAATTCCGCTCGATCGATGGATTCTCGCTCATTGAATGCCCAGGAAGATTCCCAAAAGCCTCTGCCATCTAATGTGAGATCCTTAAACAAGTGTCTTACAGTCTCGCCCCTCTCTAAGTGCATACTCGGTCCCAATGCCAATCTCTTTCCTTCACAGCGCAAGACCAAGTTCAGCAGAATCAGGAATGACTTGTCTGATAGCCTTTCAATTTCTACTTCAAAAGGATTGCTGGTATTTTCAAAATGCCAGATTACAAGAGGTTCCAGACCATTTATCCTCCCGAAAGGGTCCAGATGCTAACAGATGTTATATGGCTTGCTGCAGCAGTATTGACTCGCTGCGCCTATGAACTTTAGATTCACTCGTTGCAATCTCGATAAGACTTCGAAGCTGATGGCAACAGTTGATGGAAACTGGGATGCGCTCCTCTGCAACGGCTGTTATGGATATCTGCGCTCCAAGATGCTAAGAAGGTGACGAAATGTTGAGACATTATATGCCTCTTCACGATCCTACGGTAGATGTCAATCAACTTGAATTTCATAAATACACTCTACCTCATCCACGGAGGATGGCAGCCATTACTCGGCGTCACACCCTTGTGGTCCATCGCCGTTGTGGGCTTTGATCCCCTGTGGACTCGGGATGCCGGCGCAGTAATTTTACGTATCTACTGAGATGCAGCGATATCCTTTACGATGTCCATACGGCACATGTATAACAGTCCGACAAGAAGCTATATAAGAGAGGGCAGTACAAAGTCTTTGTCTTCTAGACTTTTGGTGTTGATGTTGGTAGCAGTCATGCATCCAAATGTCCCCCAGCCACGGTTTATATGCACCACAAGTGAGAAACGTCGGGTTCGCCGATTGACTGTGAAAAGGAGAGATAAGAACAACAAGTACAGTGGGGGGTATTAGGTTTGAAACCCCCCCCCCCCCCGGGCGCCGGGATTACACTAACCATATAACATTAATATCTATATGCTGCTTTTTGCAAAGATCTTTATATTAATATTTTGTATACCATCCTTCTGCCTCTATAACTGCCTTCACTCGATGAGGCATTGTAGCAGAAAGATTATATAGAATGCTATCATCAATTGCATTCCATGCCTCCTTAGCTGCCTCTATTAAAACTCTTTTTGTAGCTACTGTATCTGATGCATGCTCCAGCTCTGGATGCAGCTTATAGATCTCCTGCTTCAACAGTGCCCAAAGATTCTCTATAGGATTCAAATCTGGAGAATATGGAGGCCAAGGCATGATCTCTATATTCATCTCCTCAAGAACCTCCCTAACTATGTGAGCTGTATGAACCCTGGCTCCATCATGCATGAATATATCCCCCTCTCTCACAAATTCAGGTAAAAAGGCCCTATACATCCTTTATCACTCTTGAAGCAAGGGGTAAATAGTATGATAAAAGCAGCATTCCAACATAACTGGGTTTGGGTTAGTGATATCTTGGCATCACAGGTGTGGCAAGGGGGGGGGTTTCAAACTTAATACCTGACACTGTAGCACCAAGAATCAAAAGGAAGGATCCCGAACGCCCGATAAGGCGCTGGATATGACGGCTTGCAATTTTTGACTCCCATCGTATCTTTACAATGTTTTATTTCCTCTTTTTTGGTGAACTCAACTATAAAAGGAAGAAAATTGAACCTTCCATCCGTTGAATTGAGATTTGATACCCCACCACACAACGTCCCTGAGAATTGCCAACTCACAATACTAGACAACGGAATATACGATTGCTACAATGAGTGGAGCCCAATTAACAGATAGAGCGAATAAAGCTCTTGTTGACGCCCATGCTCTAGCAGAGCAACATGCCCACCCCCAGCTCCTCCCCATCCATCTCGCAGTGTCCCTTCTGGACCCTCCGGCTGATGAATCGAAGGACCAACAAGTAACCACACATCCTTCACACCAAGCCAGTTCGGCTTCACTTTTCAAACGAGTCGTTGAGAAAGCCCATGGTGACCCCCAACTACTAGCCCGGGCACTGAACCGGTCTCTAGTCCGGCTACCTTCTCAGGATCCCCCACCAGAGACCATCGCACCATCGCCGGCCATTTCAAAGGTGCTTCGGTCCGCTACAAATCTATCAAAGACGCAGAAAGACAGTTATGTTGCTATAAATGGATCTGATAGCCGCGCTGGCCGAGGATCCGACAATCG